TATATATATATATATATATATATATATATATAATCATCTTGACTTATGTTGATTTAAAAAAAGTCACCGAGTTTTCTCTAGTGTCAACAGAGATAAAATGATGAATGTTGTCCCCTCTAAAGTGACTAACTCGACGGACAGTTTGAATAAAACCTGCGCAATTATCGGTTGTAAATAAAATACGCTCCATTCCTCTGAACAGACTGCGCAGAGAAGAATAAAAACTACAAGAGATATGAAGAATGATCTGACTAGAATAGACAGTTTAACTTATGAATATAAGATATTTTGTTCTGGACTAGAAGATGCGAAACACATTCGAATGCGAAACTGTGCACAAAATGCTGCTTTATATCGCACGTACGTTCAGAAAAACTTCGTATATTTTCACGGCAAGATAAATCGCAGACTGAATTTAAGTCACGAAAATCATGGAAGATTTACGGGCTCGCCTTGCATCATCCCTTTTTAAAAAGATATACTGGCATATCGCATAAAAGTTTAAAAATGACGCACGGTCGACTCGCGACGATACGTATAAAAAACACACATACGCGCTTACGTGATAGTCTCCAAGTACGTAAGTGGTTATCCATTAAAGGCTCCCACTTGCGAAATGCGTGGGGAAAAAAGTCTACGTCTCTCTTTCGTGAAAAAAAGAGTCTCGAGACTTCTCGACTTTTCAAAAATCCCACCGCTCTCGATTTGGCTCGAATAACGTATCGGGATGTTGCTTTACGTTTAGACGCTGCAGAAGATCTTGTCGGAAAAAATAAAGATACGTACAAATGTCATTGTGTGTGTTTCAAATATTGTACTAGGATTTGGCACTATTTGTAAAAAAACTTGTCACTGTGTGACAATTGGTATCGAAGAATTGCGTGTTCGGGAAACTACGTAACTAACGTGAAAAGTCTATTGATTCTCTCAAAAAATTAACGCATCTTTCTTTTCCGACAGATATCTCGTTCCAATTGTAAAGTTTCGAAGAGCGTTCTCTCTTACAATATTATATAGAGTATATATATGTTATATAATATTAGCTTGTATATATTATAAACAATACATGCCTCTACGTTCTTATCGTGTCATTATGAAAATAAATTGGCAGGTAGTAGGCACCGTTGTCTCTACCGTGTATCTGTAACGTCGATCGCGGCCGCTTTGATCTTGTTAATTTACCGCTTTGTACCGCCTTGAGACCAATAAGTTTGTGTTTAACTCTTTTGTTTAATTTTGAAAAGTAAATTATTTTCTAAGAGTTAATTCTTGTGCAAATCGTTTAAATTTCGATTATACAAAGTGCTCGGACGAATTTGATTTATATTTTATTTGCGTTAATAAAAGTAAGCAACGTACTTTCTCATCTGTTTAAATATACAGTACGCGATACTTTTTGGAAATTTTTAATATATTGGAGATGATTTAATAAATATTGGATTTTTAATACATATATTGGAATTTTTGAGCAAATGTGCGCACGTCAGTGTGTCCAGATCAAAGCAACGTCAATCTACACTACAGTATTATTAGACTACGACCGAAATTGTTTGGTCGATGAAATATCGAAGAAAGTGCTCTGTTCTAGTTTGTCTCCTTCGCTAAATAAAAATATTATTATACTCCGTTTACATCAAACTACCGACGAAGACGATGATCGATCTAACTTATTACGAGATTACGTTCAAGAGAAGCGATGATTACAACCAACATGTAACTTATTTTTTTAACAAACGAATATAAAACATTACGATATTATCTTTTCTTCTTTTTTTTGTTTTTTCTGTTTCAACGTTTAAACTCACTCTTCTTGTTAAACCTTACCCACACCAAAATAGAAAATCTTCGAACTAAAAGAGATTTGCTTTAGCACCTTTTTGAATCCTGTAATACTTGCAGGCTACCTATCACAGACCCACCAATCCCGAAAGAGCCGTAGGCGAGATTTATTGGTCGAATCTTAAAAAAATACTACCATTGTGTGTGTGAAGGCATCACTTTTTTTTTTTGTTTTTTTTTTTATCCTTCCTGCTTGCTCTTTCCTCTGCTATTCCTGAGAGACGACCGCAGACACAGGCATATTAGAGAATCATGTTGCAATACCGTTTAAGACAAATTGGAATTCTGAGGCTTTTTTTTTTTTTATCGTATATAAGAAGGCAGTAAATACTTTCCGAGAAAGAGTCTCCGGATAAGTCATATATAAACGGGATAATACATACGATGCGCATATATATATATGTATGTATTCTTAGACAAGTATTGCACACCAGATCTCTCTCGATTTTGACTACTGTTCTCTTTTATCAAAATATGATTTTATCGTTGCGGATAAAATCCTAGCCAATCCTAGCCGACGACAGCTAACTTGTAACGTTTACAAGCACGGCCGAATTCGAACAACCGATTCGTCTTCTACGTTTACAGACAACTAAACTGATATGCGAGCGCCCTCGGTTTTGATTGCGCTCTTTGATTTTGCACCAATCTACCCTCCGGGGTAAAAAAAACCCGGAGAAAATTAACGAGAGAACAAAGTTTCGCGCTCTTTAAGAAAATCGTACTTCACAGTTGAATAACTTCCATGCGGAAAATAACATGTTTCGCTACATTGTCGACGAAGAATCAAGGCCTTATCAGGAAGAAGATCATATAAAACTTATACAATACTTAGCCGACTAAATGCTTCACCTTCAGCTGCTTATGACACTTAAGAGAGCTATATATCTCTTTGAAAAATACTCCACCGATAACAAGATTCCTCGCCTGTGTGCGTGTACGTCGAGCGAGTAAGCTTGCGCGAGCGAAGATTTAAAAAAAAAAAAGCGAACATCTTCTCTTGTTACTTTAAAGCTACTATCGCGATAAGTCAATTCTTCTCGAAAGCTAAGTACTTTGCCTCGGCGAGGACTAGCAGCGATCTCGTATATGTGACAAAAGATATGTTCTGATATTTTTTAAAGTGCCCGAATACGACGATGAAGAAGCGTCTTTCGATCTGCAAGAAGACGCTCAAAGGACACTTTAAAAAATCGCAGAGTGCTTTGACATCAAGGATAATTTTCTTCCTCTTCGTTCTCTTTGAACTTTGAAACATTCAACTGATCTTTTTTATCAAAAAAAAAAAAGAAAGAAAAAGAAAACAAAACATATCGTAGTCACCGAACATTTTTGTGCGTATGTTTTCTTATTTTGATGCGATCTCTAATTAAACACTATATTAGGGGATAGGATTTCTCTCGACGTCGCGACTCTCTTATATACGCAAGTAAAAACAGAATTAAATCGCCTTATCGCTTCGCGAAATAAATTCTAAAAGCGTCGCGTACGTCGTTGTTATTTAAATAAAAACGGCAATTCTCGGTTTTTTTTTTAATAACGATTATTAAATGACACAACAACGTTTGTGCGAGTCAAAAACATAAAAAGAGATCAAGAGAATTTACACCGAGAATTGCAATTTTGCAACATCGTAGACTTTCGTTCTGGCACTCTTTCTCTTCCCTTGTTAACTCCTCGTTTCTTCGAGTGTGTCACGCACGTTTTTTTTTTTCCATTCCCGTTATAGTCTCACTAATCGGGAATCGGGAAAAGATAGAGCAGAACCAAAGTAGATAGGAATGTGGCGAAAAGCATCGCGGACAGAACGCGGTCCTGAATCGTACGGGACAAGCCCGTGGCCGGCTCTTCGGTGTCACTTCCCCCCTCATCGCGAACAAGGAGAAGAGCGGAGACGAGACGCGCCAGAGCTTCCAGCCCGTACGCGTCCATGTAACCCACGTCCATGATTGCGTCCGCGTCCAACAACACCTCCTGCAACACCAACAACGACACTACTCAGTCCCAATTTCTATGTCACCGCATTACATTTCTTAAGTGGCCTTAAAGTGTATATCTTTATCCTCCTCGAGGAAGACCCTACTTTTGTACCAATAAGAAAAGTGTTCTTCAGGGGATAGTCGTTTTTTGTTTCATCGTTATGGGTATATCGAAATTTAATAGGATTATTCGCGAGAACCAAGTTAAGTTTTATTAAAACTGGTTGTAAATTGAGCTAATTTTGTAGAGTATCTCGTATATATGATATATATAAACTTTGTTTTACAAGAAAGGACATCAAGAGAAAGAATGAAGATAGGGAAATGTCAATGATGTGTTATTTTTTTATGACTGATGAGAAGATTATATTTTAGATTTTATACATTTCTTAAGGATAATTAGTATTTGAGCGCGTGTTAATCAATAATGAGATATTTGGATGGACGAATGAGTGAAATAAAAAAAATAAAAAAATGACCCGAGGTATAGACTATTCCCCGAAGAAGCGACACAAAAGCGAACTGGAATCTAGGCGCATGCAACTAAAGCTTCTTCGCTAATTTGTTTTTTTTTTTTTCTTCTCTTTTGGTCTCATATTTTTTTATATGAAACTTATACGCCTGTCTTCACTTTATGTCCTTTCCAAAAAAAACGATTTACACTCAAGATAAAAATCGGGGACTGACTAGTAGTAGTTGTTGGAAGTGTCATCGAAAAATAACGGCTAGATTGCCGAAGCGTTAGTCACGACGTACATATAGACGATTGGTTACAAATAATGTGGCGATGTAATTTCCCGTCCGATTGTTCACCGCAAGCAGGTCTGATAAGTCCGCGTCTAACATATATAACGCTCGTAATGGCGCCCTCGTAATAAAAGTGGTTTTTTCACACTGTAAAGCACGCTCTGTCGGTCGTGTCACGTCACATCTCATCATTTATTTGAAAGAAAAAAGAAATTATCAAATTACAATTCGTTCGATTTGAAAGTGTATCCACTCGAACCACCATGTTCCATGACGTACGTAGTACACACTAAACAACAACAACGTGTCTCATGCATTAATTACGACGTATAATCTGAGCGAAAGAGAAGCACAAATTTCTTAGAAACTAGCAAGTTTAATGACGTTTCTTACCTCGTCGACACCGATCTTCCGACACGCCTCGAGAAAGTTATCGACGTTACGTCTGCATCGCGCCATCGTCAGCTTAGGCTGCACGAGAGAAGCGTTGGCGTTAGTACATTTTGTTGTATGAAATACGCAACATAGAAACAACACAACAAAACATATAAAAAGATATTTACTACAGCGGGAGAAGGAACGTGTATACTGGCGACCGATCGTGGTCTGACGTGGTTGGCTAGATGACAGAGAACAACGCCGTCCGTCAACGCCGGTGCAAGATCCTCTGGCAGTGCCATTTTCAATCTCGTTTCTATATGCTACAACATAAAATACAAAACCGCGTATAGAAAACTATAACGGCAACTGGTTTTTGTCACAGTTGATACTCACATTTCGCAACTGATCGATGAGATCAGCTTCTTCTTTTGCTCGTTCTATTTCTCTTCTCATGGTAAAAGAGTATTTCTCGGCCAGATTGCTGTTCCACGTGACGGATCTCGGAGATTTCGGACTCCCGCCGTTCCTACTCGGACTCTTGTTGCCTAACAAATATATACACACTATCAATATATTGCGGAATCAAATATTCTTCTGACGCGTCAAATATATAAGAGAAATTTTTCCTAAAATTGCTCTTATATTTTGGAAATGCAATTATCTAAAAGTAAATTCGCATAATCTGCATATTGTGTCGATACTACCTTCTACGTAACCAACAGCAGTTTTCACCAGTCTGGGCGCGTGCGCTGGACTCGCGTTCATAGACAGAATGCTACTTGAAGTTTTAATGGGCGAATTGGGCTTCTTGTACGGTTGGGAATCGAGATATTTTCCGTTCTTGTTGTTGTACTCGCTGTTACTGCCGTTGATAATCGGCGTATTTTGGTAATTAATCCGCGACGGAGTGACCTTCTGCACCGGCCTCTTCAATGTAGTGTCTTCGTTGAAAATCTGCTTGCCGGTTAGCGCGATAGTTTCTTTATTATTACTCGCGTCAGTTTCATTATTATGCGATTCGTTGCCCGGAGGTGTCACTTGTTCGCGAGGTCTGTACACACTCAGACCCTCGTTAGCTCTCTGCTGCTTCAAGGCTTCTTTGTACTCCCTATGAGAGAATAATAAAACAGTTTCGAATGTTCATAAGGACACAATGCAGTGATTTTCACGGATGAATCTGATGATTCTTGGGTGAGCGTGGATAATAATCAAAGCAAAACAAACTATATATGCGTATATATATATCGCTATACATAAGCAAACGTTGAGAGACGCTTGAGAAGATTAATATATACACAGCACTTGACAGCGTCAATGATAACTCATAATAATAACTCAAAGTAATAATAACTCGTTAATATCACTAGCTCTCTGGGGAGGATTCAGTATGTGCGGATGAGTATAATGGATGAGTGTGTCGCGCAAATATAGTTAACGTTGAGATATAAACGTCGGATGGGGGATATGAGAGTTCTCGTTGGCGCAAAGCCCAAGAGTACAAAGTCCAAAGCAAAGTTACCTGTACGTCTGTATGTGATTTAATGGCCTCTTATCGTCGCCGTTCACTAGCACGGCGGGACTCGTTGTGGTGGTCTGTACCAGCGGGTGTACCGATTGGGTGGTGGAGATCTGCTGCGACTGTATTGTCAACTGCGTGGACTCCAGATGGCTGTAAAAAAAGGATTGCCAGCCACGATAATGCACATGCACGCATGCAAGAGTGTACGTGTATGTGTGAATCATATCGTGTTTGTAACACTTCATATCGCATATCAATAAAGAGAGGTAGATAGAGAAAGAACACGAAGGAGGACGTTTATTTATTCGGAGGGAAAGCACGCGATTTAGACAGTCGATCATTTGTAGCGCGACTCACCCCGGTGGCGTAATCGACGTGTGATGTGTGAGGGCAGATATCATCGGTCTTCTAATATCCGCCCCATTTTCCGATGCGCTTCTCTCCAATCTCCTCTTTTCCAGCTGATCGTGCAGTATCATCGCCTGCAAAATTTTCGCAAATTTCAATATTAGTATCTTCGTAAAAAATATCTCAATAAAAATAAACTGATTAAAAAAACAGAATAAAAACATTCAATAGTTGATTTTGTTGAAAACTTTTTTTCAATCAATACGAGATGTTGCGTCAAGAGAGTTTATGATTTTAACTTAGCTTAAAAGTTTTTTTTGATTAATTACGCAAAAGAAATCTGATAATGTATAAAAAAGAAAAGTTTATCGTTGACTACAATCAGAGCACAATATCAATTATATATCAAGACTGACTGCGTGTGTGTTTTGAAACATCGTTAACACGATTTATTGGGTCAAGGTCCTGCAACGATATTTGAGCGACAGCCAACAACGACTTGTTTCGAGACGGCTATCATTGCCACTGTCCGTCTCTTCAGATCTATTTGACAGCTAAATATAGCGGCTATGTCATCCTTTAAATTCTGCGTGTTCAGTGCATTTATTTAACCGGTTGCTCCAGATAAAGACGTAAATAGTGTGAGATAAATATTTGATAACAACAGATATCTCTGATTATTCAAATATATTATTACATCCATTTCTTGGTCAATTATCAAAATTGATACTTTATAGAAATTAACTTGTTTTTTTTTAATACTACTTTATATAAGAAATTTTAATTACGTCACAAAAACTGTGTATCATGTCGCAAAATCAGCTTCAAAGAGATATTAAGTTGTGTAACGACAAGATTCATATATAAATTTATATATTCTTGTGTACTATGCACTCACAATAAGGCACTTGATAATAAAAAAAAATAAAGAAATTGAAGATAAAAAAAACTTTTTACAATTATAATTTTTTTTTTGCGTTGAAACAATAACAAGATTGCTGAATTTTTTCTTTACGAAAGAGTCTTGTGTATCGCCTACCTTGCCCAACTCGTCTTCCAGGGACGTGTGTTCCCCAGGTGAAATCGTGCTAGGCGTCGACGTGCCACTGCAGGATCCGTTCATGCTTATCTCGTGCGGTAGCGTTATCGAGAGCGGTGAACATTCCTGTCGCCATAAACCACGAACTTCTCCGTCGTGCACCTGCACGCAAACGGCGACAAAAAACAGGAAAACACATGAGATCGCGAATGAGCGTGTATTTTGCGTTTATTTTGCTACAATAGTATATTTTTATTATTTGTATGTGCTATGTACAATAATCGGTTAGAGATTACACGCGAAAGCGTTAGGAAATTCGTTTTTGTATACAATATTTTATACAAAAATATCTCGCAGAAAAAAAAAGAAATTGTACACAATTTCTAAAGCAGTTGTAGAGAATCATATGAATAAATGAACTAAATGTTACTATAGGAAATATAGCGTCTAAAAAGCAGAGGTATTTGCTCGAAAGCGAGTATATATTTTACAATTCCTCTATTGTTATAAAATGTACTTCTCACAATAATAACTACTTCTACAAGTATACTCACATACTTATACTTTGTTATATATATATACGTATATCAAAATAAATATCTACCAATCTCGATAACAATATGCAAACGTTTGTATCCTCAATTCTCGTCTCTTTCTTACAATCAATATTCTCTTGCGTAAGACATCATCAAATATTTGTTCAGATTTAGTTACACGAGATTCAATATGTTCATATATTATTCTAAACTTTCCTCTTTTATTATTTGTAAAGGTAAAAAAAAAAAAAAAATAATAAAAACACAACAAAACGCGTTTGTTTCGTTTATTCATATGATCTGTCGTATATCCACTCCCCCGAGACTTTCTCGGGATCAGAGATCAGCGGGTGATTCGGCGACGGTTGACTCGCCGAACAGCCCAGCAAGCAGATAGCCGTAGAGCTTGTGCAGAAGATGGAGCGATAGCGGAAAGGCCACGAGGGCGACGGTGGTGAAACTAACCCCGCTGTGGATTTCCTGTGACCAGCGTTTGTCGACGCCGTCGCTCGTGCTGTACCCGCTGTCGACGTTGTGCCGCCGGTGCGATCTCGTGTCCAGCGTCGCGTGACCTCTCGCATCCAGAGGTGTTCGCCTGGCGCGACCGCCTCGAGCCCTCTCGTGCTTCGCTGCTTGCCTCTCCAAGTACTTGAAGATATGCGTTCGCCCGCGAATGCATAGCTGAAACCGGCAGCGCAAAACACACGACCGTTTTAATAATAACTCGGATCGATATCGTTCTGCTCGAGGAAAAAAAGTTTTTTATATTTGAACGTTTTATTTCCGGAGATCACAGAGCAATTTTCAATTGTTTCTAAATGTGTGTGTGCGGTAATGAATTCGAGAAAAGAAAGCCCCGCGAATAAAAGCGCGAAGGCGAAAGGCAATCACCGATTGCGCAATCCGTAGAAAGACTGTAGTATTGAATGAAGGATATATATGTAACCGGCGAGGAAAGTGCGTGGGAGCGCGCGTAGGAAAGGGAATAATCGCGGAATGGAAATACCGGTCTCTTGAGTGAGGATATGAAAACGGGAAAACATGCGCCAATGCTCACCGAGGCAGGAGGCGAGGTCAGCGGATTGTCGGACAGTCGAAAATCCACCAGGCTCTTCATCTTCCTCATCTCGTTCGGAAGCACAGATATTCGATTGCCGCTAATATCCAACTTCACGAGCTTCAGGTACGTCAGTTCTACGCACAGAGAAAAAGCGGGATTCCTTTAAATTCTGATCTGACGCGTGTGCACTAAGAACCTCATTAAAACCAATTTCATTAAATTACTTACAGAGACGGATGTTTTTTTTTTTTTGCAAGATCTTTGCATTACTTTGCGCGCAAATTGAATTAGTTTTTAATCGCGACGCACTCGGCGAATTCTCATCGATCGCGATCACGGACATCTGTGCGTGGTCGCATTAAAAACAGGCGGGACCTACCTATAGGCAGGTGCACCAGCAGGTTGCTCCTCAGATCGAGAGACCGGAGCCGCGCAAGGTCGCCGATTCGAGGTGGAAGGGTCGTGATTTCGTTGCAGCCCGCGTCCAGTTCTGCCAACGCCGTCATTCTGCCCAGCTCGTCTGGCAGGGATGCTAATCTGTTGTGCGCGACCAACAGGGTTTGAAGGGGTAGCCTGCATATCTCTCGAGGTAGTGACGTCAATTGGTTTCGACTGCGGATTAACATATCGTTTCTCTTAGTTTACGACGACACGCTAGGCGTTGTCGGATTTAGTTTGTCGAACGCGAGTAATATCGGATTATTACGGAAGATCATTTAAACGTCATTAAAGAATTTTGTGACACAACGCGCGCCATTAGTCAAATGGGACAATATTTTCCGAAGTTTTGAATATAAATGGAATGCATTAAAATGATGAAAAATGACTGTTTTGTCGTCAATATTAACATTACGCAATCAAATTTTTATTGAAGATATATGTAATTAATCAATTTTCATTCTAATGTAAAAACACAATGTTCAAAATCTTTTACATTTCTCGTGTAAAGAATTCAAATGTTACAAAAAACGGTCTCTCATGTGTGCGGCACGATGATCTGTTATCTCAATGTCACAGCACTATCGCGCAGGATGTGTAAAGCGATACTACATGCAAACCAATATGTGTATACACACACGCACACATATATGTGTATATTCCGCTTGTACCAACCTAAGATCGAGGTAGTTCAGAGATTGGAGAATTACGACGGTTTCCGGGATTATTCTTATGGCATTGTGATAAAGATGCAGCTTCTCGAGGAACGGAAACTCCGTAACTTCCTCCGGTAACTCACTGAAACGATTTTTCGAAAGATCTGCAACAGTAGAAAAAAACAACATTTTTTTTATACTTGATGTGCTTGTGCGCGACTTAAACCCCACACTTCATCCCCGTAACATAAACCCCACTGGGGGTCCACCGGACCCCCAGCCTCTTTAAAAGGTTCTAGAAATTACTTTATTCATTTTTTCATCTTGAAAAAAATCATAGATACTCTTCAAAGAATGCTGAATCAAGAATCTTTATTTTTCGAATCTGAATTTTATATATACTACCGGCAAGTCTCGCTTTGAAGTTTTACTTATTTAAAAGTACGCTCAAAATTATGACAAGGTCCCATGGGGACCTCTGGTAGGGTTTAAGGGTTAAAATAAATGAAACAATTTTTGAAGAAATAAAGATTTGCATCAACAGAAATACGGAGTGTATCATAAACACACGCACGGGCACGAGAAGGAAATAAGTCGGTCGCGGTATTGAAAGGTAATTTGCAATTAAGAAATATCGCTCGATAAATTCAAGTGGGTTGTGCAGTCCGCCTCAATAGAATAATCTTTGCTTTTGCAAGTGTGTCTCGCAAGCAGTAAACGTTTTCCGCGTCGCTACAAATAGCTGATAAAAAAAACCTTGTTAAGTGTAGCGTATATTATCGAACTGTCTTAATAAAGGTACCGATACGTCGCCCATGGCAACAGCTGTCCCGCTAAGGTAGCTCTCTTGGGGTGTTGCTGGGGGGGTTGTTATGAATGGGGCGCGACAAGCCACGTGCGCGCACACAGCCTCGAAACGCAGGAAAAGGACAAGGGTAGCTCAGCTGCTCCCGGCCTCGAGTCTTCTTTACGATCAATAACAGTCGTTCTCTGGATGCGCGAACACGTTTGCAAATGATGATCGTTGATTTGGCAAATGGTCTCCGTCAATCATTTGATGATAAATAATAATGTCAATAAAGTCTATGATAAACTACAGTAAAACTATCGCACGCGCGTATAAATTGCAAGAAACAATTGTTTAACGCAAATTACATAAAAATGTCGCAAACATTCTTCTCATATTTAGTTTGCTTCCAAAGGTCTGAGCGCTACATCTTAGAATATAAAGAAAAAAAAAATTAGGACAGAATTAATTCGCGGAAATTTTCCAAATACACCCCAATTCGTGGGAGAGGCAAATTGGATTTCAGCGAATCCATCGAACGATCAACGGAAATTGACAATCGTTGCGCGAGCAGGATACGTGATTTCCTTTGGGGGGCATCAAGAGTAAAGGTTTATGTGGGTGACGACGTTTCGTTATTCGACATTTCTCTAAAAAATTGTTTTATCAACAGAAAATAAATAAAACCACATTTCACATATATATTTGCAACTTACGTGTTTGCAAATATTACATAGGTGCTTTTACACGCGATAAAACAATTGACTGACAGCAACATTGAAGTCATTTACTCTCCAATCGATACGGCAATCCAGCAATCTACTTTCTTAGTTCGTTAACAATTTCTGGAAACTGGTAATAGCTCAATCTTACAACTTGCTCTTGCCAATTCATCGCGGCATGGTTCGTCGAAAACTATGGCAATTTACGCGGCTATGTAACCCGAGGGTGCGGCTTGACGAGCATAACTTCGTTAATCGATCTCGTTTCTTATATTCTTCGCGAACTAAGCGCGCGTTGAAACGGGAGCAATTGAACGGAGTGGAAAGCCAAGACGCGATGTGTGGAAGGGGATGTTCGCGATATATTACCACCGCGGTAGTAAAAGCATTGTTCTTGTATTTTCGAAACTTGGACAAAAAATAATACTATATACTTCGCACTTGAACAAACGATATTGCGGCGAGAGATGTGTGATAGTGATAAATAATATATAAACAAAATTATGTATTAATAAGTTTTATATCTCAACAATATAATAAATAATTATTTTTAAACTAGATAGAACTCGTTTACGAGAGATTATTTTTAGAGAAACGCTTTCTTTCTTGAGAAAACTACATTGTGACTGCGCACATAACGGTGTAAAATATTTTTTTCCGAATCGACACTCGCAGTATCAGATAACGTGTAAAAAGTATCGATCTTGTCCAATTTAGGCATCCTCTGCGCCCCGGAATCATCGGGGGGTCGATGGATGTCCGTAGTACAGTAGGGCGTCGGCCCGTCTGCCAGAGATGGGGATTGGGACCCTTTAGCAACTTTCACGAGCAACTCCCACGCGACTATATTGGCTTCCCTTTCTCTGGTAAAGCCGTCGTTTTGTGCAAAAGTGGCAAAATTCTTGCAAGGTGCTGTCGCGCGGTTGACATTAACGTCGTCTGTATTGTGAGAGATTCGCATTCCGGCAACGTAGATTTGAAAGACGTATATACACACAGCGGCGCGCGATGTGGAAGTCAGTTTTTCCACGTGTCTTTCCCGAGAGAGACAAAATCCTAGGTTGTGAGCGAAAGCATGAGAAGCCACGCCAAGAATCGTGACTTCCGTCTCTGAATTCTGAATACGTTCGTTCGAGCGTTAGAAACCGACGAAAAAGTGAGCGTTTCTTATTGTCGACCGTGAGATAAGCATCGATGCTATATCGTATATAGCATCTCGAGTGATTTATCTTCGAGAAGCGTCAGCTCGCATTATTAATTACATTCTGATTACGAACACACTTTACACTGTTACCCGCAAGGATCACTTTTTTATATTATTGTCCTTTTTTTCTTTGAATAATTAACAGTAGGAAGAAAAAGCTTATCTTACTCGTCGCGTTTTATCGCTCGAGAAAAGACGGAAGTAGCCGGCATTGCGATTCCAAATTCAGACCGCTGATAAAAATCAGCCGCGCGTGTGCACGAAATGACCGTATAAATATAGCTATACTTCCGCACCTAACGGTCGGAACTGCTGACCACCAACGATAAATATCGCCAGTCTGTACTGCCCTTCGTTGGGCAGTTTCTACAGGACGTTTCACGAAGGGTCGATGCACCGAACCATTTCAAGGACCAAGGTCGAGGTCTGTCGGCGAGGATCGATACGCGATTTGCGTGACGCGCACGCAGTAACATTATTTGCTGATAAAGGGCGTGGCAGTTTTATTGCTGACACATAAACTCATTTATACCTGCTATCTATTTCGGATTTATCCACGTAGAATAATAAATTGAGAAAAAGAGAGGGAGAGAGAGAGAGAGAGAGAAATTTGTTTTATTCATTTTTTTTTGTTGATAGCACGTGTTGTTTTTGTTGTATTTTTATGAATGTAATTCAGTTTCATACAAGTGCGCTCTTCAAAGAAACTACAATATTCAAACTCTCACGTTAGATTTTTTTTTTTTTTGGTAGAAATCTCTGAATTTTTGTGTCGCGAAATTACCTTCAAAGCGGAAAACTCGAAATTCTGAAGACCGATGAGAATCACGAATTTACAACAAAACGCCCTTGTAAACGCGGAGTGAGCTGGAAAAGATCACATCAGGTTGCAAAGGTTGATGAAAGGGGATTTGCTTTGTCTGTGGCGCAACTCGCGCGCTCGGAAAAAGGCTATCGCATTAGTGGAAAACGTCGCGTGAGCGGGGAACGGAAAATGTTCGCCTCTCGCAGTTTCCATGTTAATCTCTCCACGTGGTGAAGCACGCACGCGAGGCCAACGATCTCCGGGAGAAATAAATGTCTGCGCCTAGGCGAGACGGTCGTCGCTTTGGCGCTTGTCTGGCGGCGATGGCAACGGCGGCGACGGCGGCTTCTCTCCACCTACCTACCGTTTCTTTCACTCGGGGTTCAGGTTTTCATCTGAAGTGCGCGCGACCAGAAAAGGCGTGCGGTGGCTCTTTCTCGTAACAGGTAGCCTTGAAGCCCGAGCCTAGTCATTTCCTCGAAGCTTAACTGGCTTAATACGTTGCATCACGACAAAAGAAACAAGAAAAGAACATTTCACAGAAAAAGTTCCTTGTGTATCGAAATCAATACTCCGCAACGTGAGGTTTTCGTTTCGGCGCGAGTTCGCCAGAGGATAAAAAAAAAGGTTCTCTCTCTAGAAACCGCTCGGTGGCGTGTTAGAATTAAAAGAGATTTTATGAAGAACCGACGTATAAAAACGTCTGTTATTTGTCAATTACGGTCGTAACGATAAAACCAATTTATATCTCAATTCCAATTCAATTAACACAGGTACGAATATAGACACTGCTCTGGGACATGGGACGAGATATTTCCCCCGAGGGCGAGATAGGTTGTTACTCGACGATGTTACTGAATGGATAGAGAGAAGTTTGGTTTAGGCTTAGAGAGAGCCGGTTTATACCGCGCGCGCGACTAATACCTGTGGATTCGATGACGCACAATGATTGAGCTGATAGATGGAAGAAAGAGAGAGATAAATAAAACGGCTCTTAGAGCTTATCTACTTAAAAGAAATTATAAGTCACTTGAGACGAGACGCGAGTGATCCGCAACAGACCCGGCACATCGACCGTCCACATTAGTTCGATCAAAAAGCAGAATTAAGAGTACCTGTACTCCCCAGAATTAAGTACCTTCTCCCTACTTTTCATTCGAAACGCCACAACAAAACGGGCGTAACATTATTTCACGTCCGTAATTAAACGCGTTTCGTGCAAAACAGACATCAGTCTTGGTAATGATGATATGATTCCCGTATGGTTTTGCGTGCGATATCGCTTTACTCCGCAAGGCAATGTGTGCGCGAAAACAAGCTCGCATGTCCCGCGCTTGGATGGCGCCGTATACGAATCCTGATGCACGAACCGAAGGACGAATTCCTCTCCGTTTTCTGGGTGTGTCCCAGACGATTACGCGTCCCGAATGTTCGTGCAAGAAAAACCGCGGCGGCAGCGGCGACGACGACGTGACGTGACGGCGACGTTCGTTGATTACGAGGTTGCAGCGAGTAAGGTCGATTTCTCGTTAATTGAACGACGTCACGCATATATATCGAGAGATTTTTCCTTCGCAGAAAAAGTCGAAGGACGTGCGCAAATGTTGACCGCGCGTCGATTACTCATTGTCAGATATGTTGGCAAC